CCCACAAAAGACTGAATGCAATAGAAGTAGCTGAGCGGGATGAAAGTAACCGAACCAACTTAGTTAAAGTCATTGTTCATGTCTGTGTTCCATTTCAGTGATTGCCCTCCAGCTGGACAATGAATCATATTAAAGGAAGCTTTGCTACTTACAGTTCATCTGATAAAAAATCCAGATGACTTCAGAAGCAATGATGAGTATTTGGGAAACTATTAGTCTTATTACAAATTACTGAATTCAACCTAAAAAAAAAAAATTGGAGAGCAATTCCATTTATCACAATTAAAAAAAAAAAGTTACCATTCTTAAAATTCCAAGATTTTCAGAGAAGATGAATGAACATTTATGGGAAAAAATTGATATAGCAGAGATGTGTGGAATGAATATCTCTAAGGTCAAAGAGGTTATGCTCGTAAATGGCATACTCTGCTTTACAGAACTGCAGAAAAAAATGTTAAGCATAATACTAGAAAGGTAAGAGGGATGGAATAGATAAATACATAGCAAAAGCAATTAGAAGAAATAAGAAATCTCAATCATGAATAAAATGATAATTTCATATACAGTCCTCTAAAATACACCATCAAGTTATTTACCTAGGTCTTGCAAGAGGATATATGCTACAGAGTGTAAAATCATAAAATATACACATTTTTCATCTACAGCACTCAAGACAGAAGGATGAACACATAAATAAGGTAAATAAGTTCTGTTTCAATTTTAAACAAAGATATTACAAAAACCTATTAAAATAGAATAAATAAATACAGTTGAATCCTTATGTGTTTGCTTATTTGTGAATATCTTAAAAGATAAGGAATTCATGGCTTGATGTCTTTTCTGAGTATCTGGTCCAATCTATGCACGTATTCATCCACAATGTCAGTGCAGACAACTTGTAAATATGCCTCTTCCTTCCTATCTTCTTGAACCAGATTAAAATCCCAATCTGTATCAAACATTTCTCTGAGGATGGCTGAAATCAGGTCAGCCTCAGCTTTACAAACTTTTTGCTCCATCAATATAGATAAAAATTACTATTTTGCCTATCACTCAACATATAACTCTTCATTATTAACCCTCATTTCACTTTAAACTCTCACTCTCAGCTATGCAATACCAAGCAGAAATATTTTGATATATTTTCAAGATTGTATGTTCATCTTCTCAATTAAAAGGTTTGTCTAAGTTCTCATTACCTAGCTTACTACAACTTCTTTCCCCAGCTCTCATCTCATTCAAGTCACATGAGCCCAGAATTTCAACCCAATCAGCATTTTCAGCAATTAATCTGATCATAAGAATGCATGAATGCATTCTTCTTTGGTTTCTTCTTGTATTTGGGCTTTTACTCATTCTGCACTAAAGGGAAACTTTTAAACAGCTCCAGACTTCATTTTTCTTCTTCCTGATCACTCCTTAAAACTTTGCTCTGATTTCTCATAAGAAATTTGAGTTAGGCTACTGCCAAGCACACTGCTCAAGACAATCCAATTCCCTACACTTCCTGCCTATGACCATGGTGTTACATTCACACTGTAAGCTTCTGAGGACAAAGACAGCTGTCTTCTCTTCCAGCGTCAAAAATTTTTCCACTTTACTCACTAAACTAAACACATGTAGCATTTACATTTGCTTTTCAGCATTTTGACATGTTTTACAGGACTATGTGACTGCTATCTTCGTTGTAAACACAGGAGAACAAAGTGCAGGTAACTAAGATTTTAAGTAAGCAACATTCAAATTATGCTTGAAACCACACCAGCAACATTTCAACCTGAATGAAGCAGACAAAACATGCAACTCCACTGAATGCTTTCCAAACTCATAGGCCAATGTACCTTCAACAAAAGTGTAGGGCAACAACACATGTAGGGCTTATTTCCAGTGAGTTGTGCTGTTCAAACATGCCTGTATACACTTGCTTTGGGGTACCTGTGTTACACAGTGATTTTCCACCACATACTGAATATGATTTTTGAAAAAGTCATCTATACCGAGGCTCTTCACACTGGATAGAGGCTGAAACACTCACAGATTTTACTTCTTTTTAGTGCAGAAGTAAGACAATCAAGATGCTCATAAACTACTCTTTACCACCGCCTTGGAGCAGGCCACAACACATCACCAATGACCTAGAAGGCACAGCCTGCCAGAATAGCTGCGTTCAGGTAGTTGACACATGGAAAAGAGTGAAGAGGGAAATAAAAAGAAAAGCAACAACAGAAAAAAATGTAAATTGGGAGGACAATGAAAGGAAAAGCTTTCTATACTCAAGGCAAGTCATTTAGCATTTTTCAGTGGTGCCTCAGTTACTAGGCACAACTGATCCATGGAAAAATAGTTGCAAACGAAAGGCAGAAACCCGGAAGTGAGACGACAGCCTTATCAGTAGGCGAACTCCCTGCCAGTCCCATTTCTACAATAAGTCTACACAGACGACACAGAAGTAGATGGTGTGCAACATTCTCACATGGAAAAAACACTCCTAGAAGGAAGGTTCCAGGCAAAGAACAGGCTATCCAGTGTCTGTAAAACCTTGAATAGATTATCAATACGAATAAAATGAGGATTTGTACACCCTGAGGTCAGCCACTATCCTATCTGTCCTACTCCATGTGTTTTACAAATGCAATCATGTTCTGGCTTCAGCCTGAATATGCTGCCAAAACTCTCCTACCCTTTCAAGAATGCAGTTCCAGAGAGAAGAAACTTTCAGGCATAGCAAATATGCCTACTGATTACAGCGCTGGGAGCACTGATCTCCTGTGAAATCTGCACAACTGAACTGACCTTACAGATTTAGGGAGCAGTGGGGTTTGTATCCAAGCCCATATTACACTCATTCTTCAATCACTAAGTAGCCTTCACCTTACTTAGCGCAAGTGGTAGGCAGAAATCTACCAAAATGTTTAAATGCTCAGGTAGCCACAAGCACACTGCAAGCACACATCTAATAAATCTGTTAATCAAAGTTTTCTGTTCAGTATACATCACAGAGTTAAGTAAAATGGAAATGGCTCAAAGAAAAGCTGATGGCTCCATTCTATCCAGCTGGAATATTTAAACTCTTTTGACCCCCCTCCCCCCCATTAAAGTGTTTCATCGTATCTTAGCTGAAAATCAACTTCCTTATCTAAACATGTTGTCCAATACAGCGATATAGTAAAACACCTAATCCTGCTAGCAAAGGTAAGCTATTACTGATTAACAGCTTGGGGGTGGGAGGAATTTCAGGAACACATTTAAGTATGTTAGCAATTCAGTTCACCAATTCTCTTGGAGCTTTCAGAAATTTGAAGTTCCCAGAGATGTCCAAATGGGGCATCTCGTTGAGAGGTCAGCACAGCACCGGAATCTTGCACACTTAGTGTGTTTCATTGAACAGAGTAACCCTCAGCTCCTCTCTCCCGTCTTCTGCAGTTTTAGAGAAGAATCACTAGATGGAGCCGCACCGTCACAAATCTGATTTATGGTCGCTGCAAGAGTTGTCGCTCCCTGTAGTTGTTTGGCCTAAAACTGACACATTGCACGTGCTGATAACTCATCTTCTGAAAGACGGGATGAAATGCTCTCATTTACAAACGCAAAATGTACACAGAGAAAGTGACAAGATATTGAATGAAAAAAAAAGCCACCAACACTCACAGCTTTCAAAATCAAATAAATTTTAGAAGTGAACTGAAAGTTATTTTATCTGCCAAGACAGATCATATGTCTTACTTTGGTCTGCAAATCAGAAATCACAGCAGACTCCCTAGTGAATGGCATGATCAGTTGCTGCAAAATAAATACAAGAGCTCTGGGGGCAAGTCTTTGTAAATAAGCTCTAACACACTAAAAATGCAGTGATAGGCAAACACGTTTCCCACAAATACCCTGGTAATATACTTAATCCCACACTTAAAATGTACTTTAAAAGAATCTTTTTCTTCTAAGTGCACTGACATTTGTTTTGCTAGCATAGGGAAAGAGTTGAAATGTTTTCATCCAAACCTACCAACACACAATTCATCTGGATTTCTGGAGATAGACTACGTGCCAAAAGGGAATTTTTACGTGCTTTCATCCTACATCTGTGGAGGCCAAGTTGCAATCCAATCCACTCCTATGTATTCCTGGTCTGTGTGCAATGACACGAATTTCATCTTCCATAGAATGTCAAAATGATAGAACTCCATATTTTTCTTGTGTTTTCCAAAACCCAGATATTACCAATACTTCACAAAATGAAAACTAAATCCCCAGCCCATCTCCAAAAGGCAGAAGCACAAAAAAAGTCGGGTTTAGGCTGACGTTAAAAGATTACACAATCACTATTGACTTATAAACTAACTCCCTCAGTAACAGATCCAGGGATCTGTTAAGGAGTGGCAAGGGCACTGCTCCACCTCACCGGGAAGGTATTGCAGAAGGGGGCTGAAAACAGCACTGGAGGAAACCAAGCCCATTCCCCCTCTCCTGGAGAATCTTCCTTGACTCCTTTCACCTGGAAACTCACAGGTCACGGGACTGAAATTCCAAAAACCTTACATGCTTTTTGACAAGTAACTCTTCACACCTCAGCTGCAAAGAAACGTGTTCTAGGGGGAGAAGAGAGCTCGCTTCCCGGGCTAGTTGGGTGACCAAGCCTCTTACGAGCACTTTTCTGTGAAAAGCTCCTCCAGCAGAATCCATTACGAGCTCACACGACATTTGGGTGTGTTTTAAAACAAAGATTGCAGCGAAGCTGTACCAGAACCAGCCTCTGAGGAGGTTGTGGCACAGATCTCAGGCGCCGTCTTTGTCACTTTACACAGCACAACCGAGTATGTCACCGAGAGGAAGGCGCACACCTCCCGCGGGTGACCCACCCTCTCGGCGCCCCAGCATGGGGCACGGCGGGGACCGTAAGAAACCCCAGGACGAAGCTGAGCGCCGCCGGGCCGCCACCCACGGCCAGCGCGGCCCCGCCCTCGCGGGGCGGGCGGAGCGCATCGCCTGAAACCGGACCGGGCCGGGCCGGGCCGCTGCTTCCTGCCGCGCCGCTCGCTCCCGACTCCAAAATGCCGCTTCTCAGCGTGCCCAAAGAAGTGGCCGTCGGGACGGCGATGCTGGGGGTCGCCTTTGCCACGGGTATACTTGCAGGTAAGCGGCGCCCCCCAAGCCTTGCCACATAGACGGAGACCTGAGGGCTGCGCCTTCCTCGTGTCCCCGCCGGGACGGGACTCGCAGCGCCCGGGCAGGTCCCTCGCAGGGCGGGCAGGAGTCCCCGCCGCAGGTGCTGCCCGGCGGCCGTCGGGGGAGCAGACCCCTCGGGACTGCCCTGCGGGCAAGGATTTATTTTGCTGAGCTGCGGCAGTAAATACACTGATGTTCTTAGAGCCCAAGCCGCTCCCTGTAATCCAGCTACCGCAGTGCGGGGCCGGGCAAGGTCCCAGCGAAGGCGAGGACACGCTCCCCGCCTGGTCCCCTGCCTGCAATTGTTTGGCCAGACCGGAAAGGCCGGGGAGTGGTCCTTGCACACAGCATTGTTTTCTGGTAGCAGTTTCGCTTTCACTCCCTGGGGGCAGCGGAAGAATGAGCCCACGATCCAGGAGGGGAAAGAAACTAGTGATGGGTTTGTAACGCGGGCGCTTGGTTACTTACACTTTAAGGCAAGTTGTTGAAGTAATCTACATCTCGGCGTGATCGTCTGTAAAATAGAACCATTAACAGAAAATAAACCACTTGAAATAAAAGTGTTCTGTAATAGCAAGCAACTACCAGGAGATGCGGAAATAAATTTGTTCATATTTCTTCAAAATAGTTGATCCATTTGGTAAAAGAAACATTGGGCATGAAATCTGCAGTCAGTTCTGTATTTGAGTAGATTTGTACTAATCCTTAAACTTCAAGTTTCAGCACCTACTTTGTCTGCATACTGGTTTCATGCTAAACAAGCCATTGAGCACTACCACATTTCCCCTGGCTGCAGGGCAGGATATTGTCATGAGGGGAGCACAGGGTTTGAGAAGACACATCAGCTGATGGGCCTAAAACTTGGCAGCCTCTCTTCATCTGCAAAACAAGGACTCCAGACTAAGAAAATTGTGCACCTCATTCATGTTTCTCTCTTCAAATTTGTCGTTTTGAATTTAGATGGGGTTACTTCTCCTGTGAGATTATGGCAGTTTGTAACCATCACACTGGCCACTGAACAACACAGTACTGAAGCCTTTCCCCTTCAGCCTTTGGAAGCCTGGGCTGGACATCTTAGAGGCTAAAAAGGAGAAGGGGAAAAAAATATATAATCTATCTGGTTGTCCAGCTATGTTGCATTTTTCATTTCCACAGCTATTTTAGAGCAGAGAACTTTTTAACCTTCAGTAATACTTCAATGCTTACTTTATTTAAAACAGCAATAACTGAAAAGTAGAAAAGTTCTTATTATTACTTATCGTTTTTTGTAGGTAGAAGATACCCATCTTTAGTTTTTGGGACACCAAGTGGCATGATCGGGAAAAACAGTCCTCTCCGACAATACATTCTGGATCACTCTCTGCGGGAACATCCAATTCTAAAGAAGCTGCGTCTGGTCAGTATCACCCACACCTCATCCTGAACTGCTGGGATCCTGGTCACACCTCCTTCCTCCGTCTCGTTTGCATACGCACCAGAGGGGTTTTTTAACTGGTAGTATCCAGACTCTTCAATGTTCAGGGCTCCCTACATGACTATTTAATAGTATTGGCTTACATTTTAGACATGTCTTTCTATCTTTGGCTCTCAAGGCCATGTGTTAGGGCTGCACTTAATTTGAACTTGAACAGATGATTTCTGTTCATTTTGGTTGGCATATAAGGAATCTGTAGCTCAGAGAGGTGATGGCCTCCATCAGGCTCCGTTGTCAGAGATGAGACCAGACATCCTGACTCAGGTTTGAATCATTTCAGGTGGGATAAACTGTTCTTGTATAAAAGAGATTAAATGCTAACTGCTGGAACAGGTTGGTTGGAATGATCCCTAGCAGAAGAAAGGAAATAGGACATACTTTCCCTTCAACTGTTACGGAACAGCCCTCCTTCTCCCATTGCCCATTCCTCAGTGCCAAGAGCCCTTCCATCCTGGGATGGGCACAGCTTCTCCAGGTTTGCTCTGTGTAGCCAGGACTATGTGGTCTGACCTTTGGGAGACATGAACTTAGCAGGTCATTAAAGCATTCTGCACATCTTGAAGGAATGGCATCTGTTTGTGTTAATTCACAGAAATCACGCACTTTCACAATCAAAGTTCCTCTATGATATTTCGTTACAAACATTGCTGAGTTTGTCACGGCCATGGTAACTTTGGAGCATATTACTGCTTTAAATATCCACTGCTTGTGACGCACATATCATCCTCCTTACTTATAGTTCAATTCAAAGCAATTTCTGGCTCGTAGATGGAGCATGAAGGGATCTAAAATTAGAAGACAGAGGTATCTGTTTTTCCTGGAGTTTCACTGGGATTTTTTCTTTAGGAAATTGGTTTGGTAGATTTGGTTTTTGTTTGATGTGATGTGTTATTTTTTTTCCCTTTTCTAGCTCACTGCTGATCATCCCTGGGGCAGAATGATGGTGTCCTGCGAGCAGGCTCAGCTTATGGCAAATTTGGTTAAACTCATTAAAGCCAAGAAAGTTATTGAAATAGGTAAGAGTGTCACTTTATAGTAAAATAAAACTCTTGACTGTCATTCTCCAAATACAGCCATGTTTGACATAAAATATACAAATACAGAAAGGCACTGCATACCTGTCAGCAAACAGGTGGGCAAACTAGAGCATGAAAAGGAGTGTCTGATTTACACTTGGTTGCCACTTTGTCTAACTGTGCATTCAGTAGTTCTGGCATCATCATGGATGACTTATCGGTTCTGAGGCAATCTGAAAAACTGAGCTAAATAGATCTCTTGAGTCTTCAGCAGTTGCAGGACAGGGTGTATTCTGTCCTTCCTGTATCAGTTTCTTGCCAGAAGAAGATAATTTTGCTGCACAGGCCCTGTATCAAATCCATTACCAGGATGTCCTAAAAGACAGACTGATGCTGATCAGCTAGGTATGGGTTCCCACCATGTTCATTCTTGGCCTTGCTGTTACAATTCCTGGTACTTTGCTGCTCACCAGTCTCTGGGTTACACATGCAAGACCAGACCCTGCTTTGTCTGTCCATGAGCGTTTTGGAAAAAACTAACATTTAAGTTTGCTAAAAAAATGATTAAAAAAAAAAAAAGTAAAAATTCCTCTCAATCTACCGTTACATTAAAATGGAAGGAAAAATGAAAAATCTTTACTGTCTATTAACAAATTGCCATGCTTGTTTCCTTTGGGGAATTTATTCCTGAAGAGAGACTTGTGGTACTTTTTCCATGATACAACAAGTGTTGATGTCTCTTATGGTTTTCCTAGGTGTTTTCACAGGTTATAATGCCTTGAATATGGCACTTGTCCTGCCAGATAATGGCCGAGTTATTGCTTGTGATATAAATGAGGACTATGCCAAAATTGGAAGGCCACTGTGGAAGGAGGTAAGCAGCATCTCCTGTACACAGCGGGGACAGCTGCCTTTACATGTCAAGAGATTTTGGTATTTTAGACTTGCACATTCATACAGAAGTATTCTTACTATTAAAGGAGGCTGATAGAATTCAGTTTGGAAAGAAAAATAAATGGTGTTTGGAACCTAGAAATAGTAGGAAAACTATCTGAATCCCAGTCATTCCTTGAGTACAGCCTACTGATAGGTTATTTCTTGACCACTTTTATCAACACTGTTCTTTCTCATCTTAGGCAGGAGTAGAGCATAAAATTGACCTACGGATTAAGCCAGCAATTCAAACACTTGGTAAGTAACCTGAAATAACCGATTGTTTCCTCTTCCCTAGAAACAGAAGAGGGATACAATAGTGGTGAAATTTAAGACCGAATATGGTTGTGAATGTGATCCCTTTTTCTAATAGGGAGGCAGCTTCTCCAATATTAAAAAATAAAAATCTTTAGGAGTTGACAGTTTTTCTACCTAGTAGGAGAGAGGAAGAAAATGCTTGTCCTGTGTAGTAGGCTATACTGGTGACTCATCTGTCCTGTCCATCACTTTGTTTAATCTATCAGGTACTATTGTCAGCTGCTTCTGGGAAAGCTCATTAAAACAGATTAATTAGACAAAGCCAAGTTTCTCTTATCCATTGTCCATTCTAAGCAGGTATTCCTTTTTAAGAGAGGAGGAGTTCCCTGAAAGGGCCGAGGTGCAGAAAAAATTCAGAAGCCAATATATAACTTAGGCTGAACTGTGTTCAGAAAAGTCCAAATTTAGGATGTGCCAAAAGCGTGCAAGGCAATTAGTGAGGCAAGGACTTTTCTCATTCAAGGAAAGAGAAAATGTGGGGCAGAGGACATACTAATAAATGTTCTGAAAATGCAAGAAATTTTCTAGGATTGTTGGATGCAGAAGGTTTCCAGCAAAGATGTTTGATGGATCCACAGATCCACTGATAACCTTGTATTACTTTCAAATCCATCCTTTCTAAAGAGGTAAATATAAGCAGTTTGCTGGTATGCACACTTCTTGAAGTCTGTCCAACTGCTTTGTCCAGACACTGCTTCAGACAAAAAGATCCGGTGGCAGAGGCTAAGGGCAGGTTAGAGTGGTGGCAGAGGACCATAGGAGACAGCACTCACCTCCTCTGCAACTGGCAATTTGGAATTCTCAGTCAAGAAGTCTGTTTGGGAGAACTTAAAACTGAATTCTACTTGCCTTGGCCCAGAGAGGGACTACTTACAGCAATTTTTTGCTGTAACTATCTCTGACAGGATTTGTTCATGACCTGTGTCATGGCACTTGATCTGCAAGGGGAGATTAGCATTTAGAACCTGTTCATAAAGTGAGAAAAATTCTAATCCACTTAAGAAAACAGTTCTCAGCTCAAAAAAAAAAAAAAAAAAGCTGAAGCTGTAGAGTATGTCCAGTTTCAAAGTGCTTGATTTGTTTTTACTGTACCTTTCAGCAGTCCCAGCTGTATCCTCCAAGTTTGGAGCTGCTCCACAAACTCCTAAGCACTCAGAACTCAGTCACTGCATGTTTTATGGCATACATAATGTCTAGATTGGTTTCTGTGGGATAAGCTTTCCTAGTAATTACCTGTGGAGGAAGAGGCTGTCTGGTCAAGGCAGCAGAAAACATTTAATGAGAACTTTGACACAAATGGTTTACTTCCTCCTACACAGCAGTAACCAGGGTCTAACAACTCACTTTGTTGCTCATCTAGATGAACTGTTGGCCAATGGAGAAGCGGAAACCTTTGACTTTGCTTTCATTGATGCCGATAAGGAAAACTACAATGAGTACTATGAAAAATGCTTGCGCCTCATAAAGAAAGGGGGATTAATAGCTATTGATAATGTAAGTACTGCAGTTCTCATGGTAATGCATAGGCAGTTACTGCTTCTGGCTGTGGGAAAACAAAAAAAGTCATAGTGGAATTCTAGTAATGTGACTTCTGATCTGCAGTTATGTTGCTAATTGTGACATATTTGTTCCGTGTAATACAAACAAAAAGAAAATTCAACATAAACTCTTTAAGTAAGCTGTATAAAACACTGATAGAAAACATACACATTTTTCTGTTATTCATTACAGAGAATGCTCTGTATTATTCTGGTTTGTCTTGTAGTACGTTTATACTATGTACAGTACTTACACAAGATCAAAAGTAGCACTTTTAATCAGTAACTATTAATAAGTTATCGATTAATTACTTTTACAAGAAACAAAGATGTTAAACTTTAGGTGCCTCCGGGGTTAAGGTGGCAGCTGAATAGGGGCTCTTAAAATACCTATATTTCAAAACATCTTTTATTTTGGCTTCAAATCTACAGTAGAAGTAAAATTAGCAAGGTCTGTGGACTCTCACTCCCACTTACTTATGAGAGTTTCATGTCAGAGACCATTAGATGTCTGAAAAACAACAAATAATATAAATCTCTAAAAAATATGCAGAAACTTTTTCAAAGCTTCTTTTGTGGTCCCAGGACCATATTGGAAGAAAGGAGATGTGTCATATTTCTTTTTTCAATAGGTCTTTTGGAATGGAAAGGTGCTAAAGCCAAGGAAGAATGACTCGGCAGCGCAGAGTATCCACCGCCTCAATGAGAAGCTTCTCAGAGATGCACGTGTCAATATCAGCATGCTCCCGGTGGGGGATGGAGTCACATTAGCATTCAAGTTGTAACTTGAGGAAGCCCAGCAGATGGGAAATATCAATGAGCAACAAATCATCAGGAAAAATGCAGGTGGAACAGTATCAAAAATTTAATTTAACCTATATCTCCACTGGATAGCATAGCCCGGGAAGGCAGACTTTAGGAGCAGCAGGATCCTAAGGGCAACTAAGTAGAGAAGAGAGATGTATTATGAGATCTACTATGGTTTCTTACTTTAATTGTAATAAAGTAAATAAACTTACATGAAATTGTCCTTGTAAAACAGTTGTTGAAATAATCCCCCTTTATAGATTGTCCAACTGACTCAATACAACAAAGTAATTTTCCATCCTAGAAGAGCCTCTTGAGCAGTGCAATAATCAGTTAGTACCATCAAAAGGAAAAGAAGTGCAGTTTACTAATGTTTAAGCCATAATAGAAAAATGGATTTTTAATGAAATGACATCAAGGAGATTGCTAGCCTTCTGAGACTAAAAATATTGTAAGTCATTCCTTATCTTTGAAGGGTGCTACAGAACAAGCCTCAAAAAGACATAATCTGAAAAAAAAGTTCTTTTTAAAAGCTTGCCAAAGAACAAACAGTATTCACAATACAGTAAATGTATTCTCTAAAACCTTTGTACACAAGAACTGGATTTCTTTAACCTAGGTAACAGTGCATGTAGATTTTTTTTTTAAGTCAAATGGGTAAGAAGTAAACCAAAACAATTTTCCCTCTTTGCTATGTCACTCCCCCTTGCCCCGTCAAAGAAGCAACTTGCTAGTTGCTTGTTTCCTAGGAAGTTGCTAGCACAGAGTATTGGTGGCAAGCTTACTGAAGGATTATGATTGTATGAGGATACAATACAGCTGTTAACTATATTTAAATCATTATTGCAAGCAGAGATTCCCTTCCCTAGGCAGCATGTACCAAAATTTCAGCCTGCAATTCTTTATTACAGATAAAAATTGATTAAATAAGAAATTGAAAGTAGGATTTTACAGACAAAAGTTTCACTGGTAACTGGTTTGAGGGACTGAGAACACTGGAAGGTATCATATCTGTAGAAGAAAGATGTTCAGTTTTGTTGATGTCCTGAAGGGAAGCTGTATCAGAGCTAAGATAATCCTTCGGCCATTTGCTTAAATAATGCACTTGAATGGCTTGAGGCACTGGGGGATGAAGATTTCAAGTCTCAGAATGTTTAAAACTGTGTGCTTTGCTCAGATTTTTGAAATTTCAGCTGGGTGGCTTGGCTTCTGGTAAGAGGCAGAAGTTCAGAGCAGGGCTCTGACACTTGCCACAGTATACTGTGGTGGAGAGCAGTGAAGAAAGGAAGCCTTGCTTGATGGCTTCAGAGTAGGGTTATGGCGAGGAGATCTCAGTTCTATTTCTGTCACTTCCACTTAAAACCCTGATTCAGCAAAGCATATCAGGATGTGCTTAAGTACTTTGCTGAATTGAGGACTGACTGCAAAATCCATGTCTGGGAGAAGGCCAGGACAAGCTGCATGTTGCAGTTAAATGAGAATTTAAATTGGGCATAAAGTTTGCCCAATTTCTTTTTATGAGTACAGATTTACCCTGAGCTTCAAACCTCTGCACTCCTCAAATTTATTCTCTGAACAAAAGAGGTAACACCTTATTAAATTCTTTGTGGCTATAACAGCTCTCAGATAGAGTGGCTGAAGGAGTATACAAGATCATTACACATTGCATGCAGAGCTTCTGGCCATGTTCTACTGTACTGTTTTCCTTTGTCAGTAGATACCAAAAGAGTCATAAGGGTTAAAAATACAAAATGTGACACTTTAAGAGCAGGGACATCTTCTCAAATATTCCTGCTTTCAGAGGCTAGAGGCTGATAAACATAAGCAAGCCAGAATATGTTAAGGATAAATACCATTCCCTGAAAGAACCATGATGGCCTTTCCCAAACAGGGAGAAGTCGTTGAAAGATCAATCACAACTGTTTTACTACTATTTTCCAAGTTGCAAGAACCCTGAGCTGAGCCAAAAATGGGCAAGCATGATAAGTATTTTTGCAAGAAACTGTCAAGTAAGAGTTCAGAAACATTCAAAATCAGGTACAAGCACTCATAGTTGGTGAATTCAAAAACAACTATTCTTTCTGTGGTGGAAACTGGTAAAGCCCCCATTACCTATGCTAGAGGAAGACCTACCACGTGCTTGAGGCTGAAGTCATGTGCAGCAGCCTCTAGCATTTTGCTTCTGCTTTGGACTCTCTTCTATTTTAAATATGCAGATCATAATGTGAGTATTTCATCAAACCTGTCTCCATCCTGATCACCTAATTACCATTAGAAAGAATAGCAATGTGTCCCTAAACTATAGATTGATGAGCCATCTGTAAGCAGAAACAAAGAGCAGAAGGAAGCTTAATTGAATCAAATATTTAGAATACATTACTCTGTCTTGTAGTTACTCAGAAACTGGCCTTCTCTTCAGGCTTCTGTCCTGCACATCTGGAATTCATCACCCCTAACTGCATTTAATCCTTCAACCTTACTACGAAATGACTGCTGATAATATATAATTATGGTTTAATTCAAGTGGTGAATCAGCTATGGGGAATTTTTGGGGGGAATGGGAATTTAGACTTCCATTATCTGATGAGAATAGACCACCCAATAACGCAATGCAAGTATTTGTCTCTCTCTAATGGAGGCACCATGAATGGAAGCTCGTGGGTCTGCTGGGTCTGCTCACCCCTCTCAGGTAATTCACCTGCCTGAGCTTCTCTCACACTACAGAGGCTCAGGATTTTCTGCTCCTGGAGAGGAGCTGACCCAGGGGCACAGCTGTTGCCCAACCCTCCCAGCCAGCTGTTCCTGCAACACTGACATCTCTTCTGCTTGGAAGGGAGGACCCCAGAGGGGCCAACACAGGTGACAAATGTACAGCTGGGACTTGCTCAGAAGCAAATGGGCTGAAGGATCAGTCATTAAACAAAAAACAGAGACACAACAATGGGAAGGGAATTCCCCCTAATGTGGTAACTCCCAGAAGCCACCATGAGAATGAAAGCATGTAATCCTAACTACAGGTTAGGTATCTGAGTTCCTACTCCAAATATGTCACATTCAAAATGGTGTGGTATGATATTTATGTGGATGACAGGAAGGGAACAGAAGACTTTTTAAGAGTAGGCTTTGCATCTCTACTAGCTAATTAAATGGGCAGGACTGAGACTGCATGCTCAGAAATCTAGAGAGAAGGTTACCCCAAAAAACCCGGTCATCGTCCAAGGGTAGACACAGAGCTCAAGGCTGAGTTCTGATTCTTCAATGCTGCAGCTTTTAATCCTGCTGGGACATTGGGGAATGAAGCAGGGAGCATCCTCAGTCTCTCATCTTACTAAAGAAAGTAATGGCCTAAAGAAAAACAGGGTTGCTGAGTGTAACATAATTTACAGGCATTTGTTGAACCTCTGACACTGCTGTCACTCCTTTTAACAGACTCAAGTGTTTTTAATCTATTTGAATTCAGTCATGTTACACACAGACAGCACTTTCTGTGAGTTGCTGTTTATGGAAGACAATTAGCAACTTCATCCCAACTCCTTCCTTTGAGGCATGAGCATTTCCCAAAAACCTTTGCAGCTCAGATCTGAGGGATATGCCATATCTCAAGCACTGCAATCTTGATGCTGGAGTGGCAATAGCAGCAAGTGCCATAACTGGCTCCTTTTTGATGATGTAGTAGCACACAGTTGGTTGCATCCCTGCTTATATTCTGTTTATCACAGGAAGAAATCGATCCTAAATGATCACAATAGGAGTAAAAAAGCTAAGAGATCAGTACTGTTTTAAGAGATTTTTCTCCTTGTGTATTGGGTTGGGCTCGAGGAGAGTTAATTTTTTTCGTAGCAGCTACTACGGGGCTATGTTTTGGGTTTGTGCTAGATACAATGTTGATATTCCCCTCACTCCACTGCATGAAGGAACAGGCTGGGGATGCATGAAGAATTGGGAGGAGGGTGAGCCAGGCCAGCTGACTCAAAGTGACTGAAGAGATACCACATGGCATCGTGCTCAGCATATAAAATGGGGGGAAGAAGGAGGAAAGGGAGACATTCAGAGTGATGGTGTTTGTCTTCCCAACTTACGTGTGATGGAGCCCTGCTTTCCTGGGGATGGCTTTCCTGCCTGCAGATGGGAAGTGGTAAATGAATTCCTTGCTTATACAGCTTCTGCTTTGTTTATTAAACTGTCTTTACCTCAGCTTACAAGTTTTCTCACTTTTACCCCTCCAATTCTCTCCTCCGTTGCACCAGAGGTAGTGAGGGAGCAGCTGTGGGGGCTTAGTTGCTAAAGTTAAACCACAACACCCTACTGGCTGAGATTAGTACAGCTCCGTTTTATCCGTCCCATCTACTGAAAGTGCATAGGTCTCCTCCATCGTGGCACCACCTGTGCACTACCTTGAGGAAGGTGACCATGCTGAGTGGCTCCATCCCTTCCAAAGAACAGCCAGACCAACACAGTTGAATAACCTAAAGCACCCCATGCACTAAAGATCTGGGCCCATCTCTGAGTGCTTTGCAGCACGTTTGATTTTATTGCTCATTCCATTTTAACTGGAGAGGCAGCACTACCATGGCCTTCCCAGAATGAAAATGTGGAAATCACGAATATGACGAGAAGGGTCTTTCGGGAAGGGATTGCTGATCACATCCCAAACAAGTACTGAGCGAGAGAATGACAATGCTGATTTTTCCCTCTGTGCACACCTAAGAGCTGCAAATGAGCATTTCCTGCCACAGTGGGACTGAAGTTTCTTCAGACAAGCTTGAAGAAATTCTTTTGTTTCCTAACTCATCAGTTGCTCTGCTCTCTGGTCTGCCAAGCCTTTTCCCAGGGCTGTGGCATTTCTCTGCTGCTGCATATTGTGCCAGTGATTTGCACTAGATGAAAAGGCTCTGCACAAGTATAAAGCATTACCTCTGCATAATTCTAATCACAGAAAATTGGTCTCATGCATTTGCAGCTACTCATGGTTTCTAAGTCACCTGTTTTATAATAATTTTTAAAGCAATGTTTTGAAAAAGGAAATGAACAAACATAAAACCTGCAAAAGAGAGAAATTAATGTGGGATTTCAGACAAGTTATTTATTTTCCTTTTTGGCTCAGTGCAATACTGTAGGGATAAGCACATAACTAGCTGCTTTAATATTTACTCCTATTATAAGAAAAATAAACATTGCTGATAAGTCACTGCTTTCCAGGATTAGATTTCATATTTTAGAGACTGCTTTAAATTAATGCAGAAGCAAACATTATCTTTTCTTCTTATTCATATATTTCCCTAATGAGTTCCAAGCAAATTGTGCCTACTTATATTTTATGATTTTAAATAATTAAAACATTTTATGGAGGCAACTAAAATTCTCCCCAGAGTTAGCAGAAAGATTATTGATTGAACAGATCTCAGGCTACAAGGAAAAAATTATTATTTAGTTTAAAGGCTCATAATTTTATTCCTATTCACCTACTAAAAAACCAAGAGACTGTGCATTTTTCCAGCAACCTTTTGAGTTATGCTGGGGTAGGGACTTGGGTTATATTGGTGAGATGAAAGTAGTAACTTTTTGACATCATGAAATGAGATTT